TATTTGAGCTTCTATAGCATCAAATTGTTCGGTGCCAGTTAGCATCTCAAAAGTAATTTGATTTCGGGGAGCACTAGCTTGAGCATTTCTGTTAGCATGATCTCTGGCTATATCTTGAAACCACATTATCCATTGAAGATACTCTCCTGTTCTAAGGAGAGCTTTTATTAAAATTCGCCAATCATAGGGAATAAAGGTTCCAATAGAAGATGGCATAGCATTTAGAATCTCTCTAGTAAAAGGCGAATGCGGGCCATACATAGTTACAGCCTTTTTCATTTGTTGCATGTGAAAAATGTTAATACCTTCATATTGAGGTATTATTTGCCCTTGAGCATCAGCATTTCTTAAAACTGGAAAGGCAGAAAAACCATCGGCTTCAGAGATGTGTGATTGCAAAGCCAGCAGTTCAGAGAGCCTCTGTCGCGAAGGGGGTAGATTATTGTTATTCAGAAAGGTGTTGTCGGTTTTAATGTTAAAAGGTGTCTTAAGGGAGTCGTTGCCAAAATCATTATGTTCTATCAAGAGAGAGACTTTGGGATTTGTGCCTGCTGGCAGGGGAGGAGCACTTGGAACAACCAGAGCAGGGTTAGTAGGAAAATTCTGAAATATCTTATGTTGTTCTAATTTTGCCTTTTGTAAGGTATCATCGTCTAATTCATATTCATGTAATTCGGCCTGTTGCCGAATATCAGGAGTGTTAGAATTTCCTTGAAATAGCAGAATCACAGCTTCAATGAGAGCCCATAGGGGCCAGAAATCTATTGGAACTACCTTCATTAGGGAAACAAGGGTTACATTCAACCACTGTCTGAAGGCAAGCCTCTATTCGCTGGCGTGAAACCAAAAATCCCTGAGCATGCACCAAGAAAGGCTTATCTCAAAAAGAGGTGTGTGTCTTTTGTCTAAAGTGAACCTCTAAAACTTCTTAAGCCCACATAAGGGCCTTTCGTATTAATTATGGTTAATACATGGGGGACTCAGTGCTAAAGAATCACCTGCAGTGCAGGAGATGTGGGAGATGCAAGTTCAATAACTGGGTCAGGAAGATCCCCTGGAGGAGGAAATGCCAACCCACCTCAGTGTTCTCACTGGGATAATTCTATGGACAGAGGAACCTGGTGGCCTGCAGTCCACAGGGTTGCAAAGTCAGACACGACTGAATTACATTAACTATATTAACACAGAAATACACACACACACACACACACACACACCCCTAGCATGGCATGAACCAAACAGAACCAATCTGAAGCCTTTCAAGTGACACTACAAGGATAAATTTCTATTCGGACTGTTCTTTCATTAAACATCAGTGACAAAAGGCCTTGTGCCTGTTTTCTTTGTTCTAGCCATAAGGAATACTCTGTGTTACTATGTGATAATACATTTGTAAATATCAAAACCAGAGACATGGAAAAGGGTTGTGGATACCTTATACTAACTTCACTTTAACTAACAGACCTTTATCAAGCACCCATGAAGAAGAAACACAATGCTTTAGGATAGATGAATAGAAGCCTTTAACTTCTCAACTATTCAGAAGCTCACACTTTCGGGGAGATACACTCATAAATAAATAATGTTAATATACTCAAGGATATGAGATGAACTAGCACAGAAAATAGGAAAAGGTGTCGCTGCTAACTAGCAAGCATTCAAGTGGCCTTAACTAAACATAGAAATAAGGCCTTCTACCCTCAAACCCCTGGTACTCTCCTTCTCTGATCTTCTACTCTGCTCAAATACCACTTTACATTTTTCCTTCAATAAATTCCAGATATCAGGACCATTTACTCTTTCAATTTTCTTTAAAGGAGGATGTATTTCAGACCTAGATAAAGGTACAGAGATTACAACATCCAGGCAAGCATCACGCATCTTAAGAAACAAAAGATTACAAATAAAATTTAAATCCAATATACCTCTCCCCAGTTGAATTCTCCCTCTCTTCCATGAGATTAACCACTGTCTTAGAAGGTTTATTGTTTTCATACACACCTTTATACATGCTACATATGCATGCATCACTCCCATGTATACTTTTTACTACAAATATATGAACCTATAATCAATAGAAGAATTGTTGCACGTTTTTAAACTTCATATATGCATGGTATCATGATGCCTTTATCCTTTTGGAAGTAGGTTTTATCTATTTGTCACTTCCACCCCTGAATCTTTGCCCCTTGTTATAAGCTGAATTTTATCCCCCTGAAAAGGTATGTTGAAGTTTTTTTACCCCTTGAACCTGTAAATGTGACCTTATTTGGAAGTAGGGTATTTGCAGGTATAATAAAGTTAAGATGAGGTCATACTGGATTAGGGCGGGCCCTTAATTCAGTATGACTGGTATTCTTTTTTTTTTTTATAACTAAAGAACATTTATTTGTTTTTCACCAAGACTTTATCTTGAGGACGTAACTAAACTGCGCCTCCACTCCCCACCCCAATTTGAAGGAGGATTAGTACAGTGGATGTTATAAAGCAGGTATGAACAGTTTGAGGGACTGGAACCAACGTTAACTGACAAAAACCAACTTCCATCTAAATCATCATAAAAATGTTTAAGTAAAAAAAAGGGGGGGGAGGAGGGCAAAGGGTTTTCAGATTGGACAAGATCATCACATTTTATCTAATACATTCAATTCTGGCTACGGTATACCAAAATGGAAACAGGATAACTATAATACAAAACTTCCACTACAGCACACTGCACAAATCTGTGTTCCAAGCCCACCCCTGTTCCCCTAATGCTTCCAAACTCAACTATTTCCCAGCCTGTTGGGCCTGTCAACGAAGGAGCACGTAGATCTTCTCTTTAATCCAATCTTTGTTATAAGGTTGGTATGTCTGGGTATCAGCTCGGTAAACAAGGCAGCTGAGGTCTGCCAGGTCATCAATAAAATCAAACAACTGACTGATATCATATGTGATAGAGGGGCTGTTGGGATTCATTCTCTTCAGATGTTCTTCATACATTTTACAAACACCTTCCATACACTCATTCACAGATTCATAGTCAGCGTAAGTTCTGCCTTCTGGCCTCTTGGTAGGCTGTACCAGCAAGATGGTGTGAGACATCGCGCCAAAGTCTCCCGCTGCAGCCGATGCCGACTCCGCCACCGCACACTATGACTGGTATTCTTATGAGAAGAGAAAGGACACAGAAACAGACAGGGGAAAATGCTATGTGATGAGGGAGACTGGAATCATGTATTTACAAGGCAAGTGTTGCCAACGATGGACAGCAACCACCAGAAATTAGGAGAGAGACGTGAAACAGATTCTCCCTCAGAGCCTCTGGAAGGGACCAACCTTGCTGATACCTTGACCTCAGACTTCTGGCCTCCAGAACTGTGAGATAATGTATTTATGTTGTTTTAAGCTATCTGGTTTGTGGCAATTTGTTATGGTAATCTTAGGACACTAACACACCCCTCCCAGAGTTCTTTGTGTCTCAAGCCCCTAAGGATTCTAGTGTCTTTCTAAGTACAGATCTTACCACCCTGTTTTGTTTACCTGAAACAGTACCAAGTCAGTGAATTAAGGATGATCCTGCAGTGGGTGTAGTAAACCTTTCCCCCACTGCTCTAAAGCAGTGATTCTGAAACTTCAGTGTGCTTCAGTAGCACCTGAAGGACTGTAAAACCCTGATGGCTAGCAGCCTACTTTCAGAATTTCCAACTCAGTAGGTCTGGAGCATGGTCTGAGAATGTGCATTGCAAACAAGTTCCCAGGTGATGCTGATGCTGCTGGTCCAGACAAGCTAGGTCATCCATCAGTTTCTTTCAGTAAAATATAGTAGAAGGCTAGGGCACCATCACACAAATTATTTTCAACCCTATATTTTAATTTATTTGGGGCTGCAATAAAAGGATTTAAAACAGACTTGACAAATCGCTGAAAGAAATCCCTTTCAGTGACAGTAAGGTGGGCCAAAATAAATAGAACAATGATAGATTTGAGTCAGTGTTATTTATGTGAAAAAAAACACTACAGCTTATTAATTTCAAACAAGCTTTTATTTCCAATGTGAACAATACTATCAAATTATCTATAAAAGGTAAGAGTCAGTAGTTAATATCATTTTGGGGTGTTGAAACTTTGAAACAAAATTAGTATTTTAGGCTAATAAAAACAAGAATATCCATGAAGAACAAATGCATCTTTTCTTTTGCTGTCTGCTTCTTTCTATGCCTTCCCACTGTAGGATGAATAAGAGCCAATTAACAATTGTACCCCAATAACATGCTCCAGTGACTTTCTAAATATGAGTCAATACTATGTACATCTATTTTCTCAATGAGGAGAAAGCAAAATGTTTTCTTCTTGTAAGCCAGACCCTTGCTGATCAGGGTGCACATCATTTCATCACACCAACCTTATCTTCCTCTTGCCCACCACTATAAATGCTTGTTTGTTGGTTGTTTTTTTTTCCATGAAAGGCCACTCTGTGATTGATAACCAATAATATCACTATGACTGATTTTCTTTTCTTTTGAATAAAAAATCTAAATTGACCTAATATTTGTGAATTAATCCTGAAATGCAGTCCTCTTGAAACCCTTAATGTCTTACTACTTTGTAAGGAATCACTTTCTCAAAGTCATTGTCAGTACAAGAGACTACAATTCTGTGACCAGGTGATGATTATACAGCTAATGGACGACCTAGTCACTTTAGCTGCTGCTTCTGGTGACGATTCCCTAAAGAAGCACTGGTCTCTATTTCCAGGTCTTATAAATTTCCCATCTGTAGTAGTCTTAAAGCTACAGGACAATGGTCTCATGGCTATAAAGGAAATACATTTCAGAACATACTGTCTCCTACATTATCTAGAATACATTAATAACAATAAACTATTTTTTCCAAAATTAAATTTCAACAATTTTCTTATTTACTTTACAGAAGAAAAATTTAAAAATATAAAGCTGTTAGTAACAGGTATGTGTCAGGAATGATTATGTCATACTAAAGCCTATACAATAATACCTGTATTATCCAGCGCTGCCCTTTGCTGAGACCACATCCATTTCGAGTCCTTCTTCAGGTTTTTCATTTCCATCCTCTTCCTCTTCATCAGTGTTTTCATACTGATACTCACCCTCATCATTAGGGCAGAGTGATGCAGACTTTGGGGTCAAAAGTTGGCAGGAAAAATATCCCAACTTAAAATCAGCAGCAGAGTCTAGGCCTGAGCGAAGAGAAATATGTTTAAAAAAGAAAAAACAAATAATAGCTGGAGATGTTTCTACTGGTTAATACATTTCTAGTCCCACCCCACCCCCCATTTCTGCTGCCTGACAATTTTCACAAACATTTTCCCCCTCTTTCCAGTAGATCTCACACACTATGCTTCTGATTATTTCTGGCCCCTTTGGAGAAGGGATCCGAATCATTTGATACTGATACCATTTTGCATGTGTTTGTCAGAATCTCAATGAAAATGTTCGTTTGATTTAAAGACAAATTCTATGGGGAAGCTCACGGATTCCTCAACTGCTGAAAAGTGCCCCTGTGCTGTGTTATCACTTTCTCAGATCCTCCTACTGAGAATCTTCACATTTTTTAAAGCCGTTGACCAAAAGGGAGGGATGCCATTTGTTTGCCCCTGGGTTGGTAGAAGGCAGCATGCTTTATTTTGAGACCATAAAGGTCTATAGAAATGGGCTTCCACTTGTGCTGCCTTCCAGTTGTGCCTGGAGGTTTCTGAGAGCTTTGACCCACTGCCTAACCGCTAGAGACCTGCCTTTGAGCTGGATGACCCCACAGTGGCTGCAAGGGCCTGAAGGCTCAGCCACCACTTGCCCGCCTCCGCCCCTCCGGGACCACAGGCCTCAGCCTCCACCGCAGGTTCCCCTGCCTTCTAGGATGCAACCCCCTCCGCAGGATCCTGCAGCTCCCAGGGTGGAGCGCCCTCCACTGGGTACTCACCCTGCAAGACTTTGCCTCCCTCTCCCAGGTCTTCCTGCTCCTGAGGAGGCACGGGAGCTTCTCCAGGGTCCGAGAGTGGCTGGGAGCGGCCCCTGGCCATCAGGCAGTCAGCGTGAGGCCGGAAGAGGACATATTTGTTGTTATGTAAAGCGCGTAGGAAGGAGTCGGATCTGACTCCAGAACAGGGGCCCAAACCTCTCCGCAGAGAACCCAAGGCCTGTAACCACTGCCGCACCCTCCTGCTCATTCTCGTCCTCCTCTTCTGTGTCCTCCTCTTCCTCGACCTCTCCCGAGGAGGTGCTCCTCCTCCTCCACGTCCTCCAACTCGAAATCAGCCTCACTCTCTTCCTCGTCCTCCTCCATCTCCTCTACATCTTCCTCCATCTCCTCCTCCTCTAACAGCTCTCTATCACATTTCTCTTCCACTGTGGCCTGTGGCCAACCCTGCTCCCCGGGAAGGGCTCTGGAGACCTCCAAGGAGGCCAAAAGAGCTGTGGCCTCCTTTACTCCTTCCATCCCCTCCCAAGCGGATGCCTGGACCCCAGGGAGACTGGGGTTTCGGCCCGCCCTACCAGCAGCCCTGTCCTGGCCACCTGGGATCCAGTCGTGCTCCTCTGTGGCAGACATGGCAGTTGAGCCCCACCAGTGACGGGCCTGCAGTGACATCTGCAGGGAAGATGGCGGCCGATGGGCTAAGTGTCATGCCGAGGAGACGCTGTTGGCAGTGGGACCTCAGGGTGGGGGTGGGGGCAGCAGAGACGATGGCTGCACAGGGAACAGGAGTTTGCGAAGGTGCTGGTGTAGGCACCTCCCGCGACAGGAACGTCAAGGGGGCGGCTCGCAGACCGGCCCGCCAAGACCGAGGCTGAGGTGGTGGCGGACAGGTGGGAAAGACCCTGATGGGCTGGCGGCGGTACGTGGAACTGGAAGGGTCAACCGGGGACCACTTCCTCCAGCGCCAGCTCTTTAAGTTCATCTGCCAGGAGGCAAGGATTGGCATGACCACTGTCCAATAAATGATCAAGGCTTTGAGACTGCAGGGAAACCTTCCAGCCCCAGATCATACTTTGAGCCCACAGGAGTCCCTTCCTTTACATTGCACCATTGCAAAAACAAAATGGCAATGTCCCTATAGGGCGGCACCCTGGGGTATGGGAACCTGGATGTGGTGCCCAGTTGCCACCCTGTGTCAGCTCAGGCCACCAGAGATATGCTTATTTTAAAAAGTTAATAAAGGCTCGCTAAAGCCTTGAGAAAGAACATCAAAAGAAAGAGATGGAGCAATTGGAAAACAAACTGAATTAAACAGGAGCACTGAATATGAAATAGAAAAAGTGAAACAAACTAAATAAAAGTTAAAGATCATCATATAGTCCGGTTGTTTTTAAGCATGGCTGCTCATTAGAAACATGTCTGTAGGTTGGGAGAATAAAAGCAATACTGTGGCATTTTTCAAAAAATTCCAAGATAATTCTGATGTGTCAGAATTTTAAAAAGTGATTATAGATTTTTCTATTAAATGGTAATTTTGGTAATATAGAATTCTATTACTTTTCTGTTGACCAATCATGTTACAATGGTATTAAGTGAATAATAGTTGCATACTCACTAGTATGTATAATATATATACTTTAGAAAACGTATTGTTTGCCTAACTAAAAAATTTATGACATTTTGATTCCTCTTGTTTGAGTTAGTATGAACAGAATGATAGGTTTATAATTTTTAAAAAAGGTATGCAACCAGCAACAAAGGTTTACTGCATAGCACAGGGAACTGTAGTTCCTTTGTCAGTCTCTTGAAATACCTTTAATGGAAAATAATCTGAAAAATAATATATGGGTATATGTAAAACTGAATCACCTTGCTGTGCACCTGGAACATTGTAAGTCAACTATACTTCAATAAAAAGAATATATATATTAAGAAATAAAAAACTAGAAAGTGTTTAGATCACATACGAACAACTGTTTAAACCTCCTGTGAGACAGAAAGAGAATTTGGAGGTTTTAATGTTGTTAAAGATACTTAGAAAAGAACGTACAAGTTGACATGGATGCAGTGAGAATGGAGAGTGGAAGGAGTAAAACTAGGAGCTGAAAAGGGATTCATCAGGGCTCCCCAATTCACTTCAAAATTCCAAGAAATGAAGAGAGACTTCTTTTCATGACTGGGCTAAGCACTTGCTCTGCACTAAGTGGGACACCCCACTCCTCCCAAATTCGTATGTTGAAACCCTTACCCACTCTATGCCCTGCCCCTGTGATGGTATTTGGGAGTTAGGGCCTTTGATAGGAGACACAGTGAGGATAATCACCTCTTCCCTACGTAGAACTTATGTATTATGGGTTTCATCCCTTATATCAGCCTTGCTTTGTTTTACCTAACTCATAATCAATATTACCAGTGGGGATAGTCCATTGGGTCCCATGTTATCAAGCCCATTTCTAAGTGACAAAGACTCAATTTAAATTTATGAGACATAAGTCAGAGTGCCTATGCCTGCTACAGGATATTTTAGGACAATGGCTGCTATGATCTGGAGCACTGAAACACTGCAATAATAAAATGCTTAAGGCAAATAAACCTATTGGCTATCTCCAGTAGCTCCCTTAACACTATAGGGGCATCTTTTAAAAATTTAGTGGTATCTTCAAGAATTCCTCTATTTTGTGCCCCAGTATTAAGTTCAAAAATTTTTCCTACATGATGCAGTTTAGCAGATGTTGAAATAAATTCCAAATCTATTTGTAGAAGTCTTAAGCCAATAATCACTTTTTATCTTTAAAAAGTATTATTGCACTATTGTGGTAAATGTCACCTTTTTAAAGTATATACTTCATAGGCATTTACTACATTCTTTTTTTTTCTTTTTTTTCCATTTATTTTTATTAGTTGGAGGCTAATTACTTTACAACATTGCAGTGGTTTTTGTCATACATTGAAATGAATTAGCCATGGATTTACATGTATTCCCCATCCTGGTCCCCCCTCCCACCTCCCTCTCCACCCGATCCCTCTGGGTCTTCCCAGTGCACCAGGCCCGAGCACTTGTCTCATGCACCCAACCTGGGCTGGTGATCTGTTTCACCCTAGATAATATACATGTTTCGATGCTGTTCTCTTGAAACATCCCACCCTCGCCTTCTCCCACAGAGTCCAAAAGTCTGTTCTATACATCTGAGTCTCTTTTTCTGTTTTGCATATAGAGTTATCATTACCATCTTTCTAAATTCCATATATATGTGTTAGTATACTGTAATGGTCTTTATCTTTCTGGCTTACTTTGCTCTGTATAATGGGCTCCAGTTTCATCCATCTCATTAGAACTGATTCAAATGAATTCTTTTTAATGGCTGAGTAATATTCCATGGTGTATATGTACCACAGCTTCCTCATCCATTCGTCTGCTGATGGGCTACTACATTCATAATGCTGTTCAGGCATTCTCTCTGTTGCCCCCAAATAAATTATCACTCCTAAAGGAAACCCCATGCCAGTAATCAATCCTTCTCCATTTCCTCTTCACTGCAACCAGGCTCTGATAACCACTAATCTGCTCTTTACCTCTATGGGCTTACCCTTTCTAGATAGTTGACAGAAATGAAATCCTACAATATGTGACCTTTTGTGTCCAGCCTCTCTCATTCCTTTTTACGGCTGAATGCATGCCTTTGTACAGAGGGTCACTTTTGTTTATGAATATGAAACAAGTTGAGGACAGGTTAATGGATACTTGGGATGTTTCCCATTGGGTTACGGTGAATAAGGCTGCTACGAACATGGGGATAGAACTTTTTATTTGAATAAATACTTTCAACTCTTGGGCATATATAGCTAATAGTGAAGTTGATGAGACAACCATAGGCCTTTTAACTTTTTTCAGGAGCTTGCAGACTATTTTCTACAGCGACTTGTTGTCATTCAGTCACTCAGTTGTGTCCGACTCTTTGTGACCCCATGGACTGCAGCACGCCAGGCTTCCCTGTCCTTCACCATCTCCATAAATGAGCACTAAAGTAAAGTTAATGCAATGCTATCCTCTTTTTTTGTCATTGGTGTTAACAGTTTAAAAGTGTGTTACCACATAATAACATGCAGTATACCTTATGGAGTGGCACAGGGCTTTGTCACCATTATTTAAAACAAAAGGGCAGTCCAAGTAGGATTTTATCCATGTAATGTCATTTGAAGGGCATCATACTACTTCTGATCAGTTTGTGCTGTGCTGTCTTTCTCCTATCTTTCTGCTAAAATTTTGTCTTTTAAAGGCCCTACAAGGCCTTCTAAGTAATCTTACTAGGGTTCACTCCAGTAGGCAAAAGACACATACATGACTCACTTTCAGGTAATCCCTTTGGACCTTGGGTTTCTGCTGAGACGTCTTAGATAACACCCTTCAACTTCTTACAAGGGTTTATTTTGTTTTGTTTTTTAACTTTAAGGATCTCTGGGGTATTGGCCCAGATCTTCCTGAGGCCTAAACAGAATATGGTCACACCCTTGACTTCATCTTTACACCATATTTTCCGAGAAGGCTTCTGGATTTGACCTTTGCCCAGAAGCTTTTTCCTAACTTTCACATCATTTGCTATCCAGGAGAGGCGGGGGATTTTCAAAGTAGCAGGTTCTGTCTCCTATTTGTTTAAAAGAAATCCATCCTTCAGTGAAGTTCAAATTTCAATCACTTGTCATATTTTAGTCTCTTTTTCTTTTATCTAGTTAATTTAAAAACACAAAGCTATCTATAACTGGGATATATTAAGAATAGTTGGGTGAAATTGAAAACAACATACTAGGAGAACTGGAGTTTCCAGGGCTGTCCTCTCCTAGGCTAGGTGTATTAGTTTTCCATTGTGAAATAGGAAAACCAAATTACCACATAAATAATTTAAAGATCAAACTACAGTAACATACTAATATAATCAAGAGAGTACCATCCCATTGACTTTTCCATATTCTGATGGGTAGGAGGAACACACAGCTTCATCCCAACTTAAGGGAAGGAGACGTATGTGAGTATGAATAACACAGAGGTTGAGGGTCACTTAGGGTCTGTGCACAGTACCTAGACTCCTCAAAAGTTCTGTTCCAGCAAAGTGGGGAGAGCTTGGCCCCCAACACAGGCCACTTGGTCCACATCCTGGGCCCTGGACACAACCTCTTCCCC